GGTGATTCAACACTTTGGGGCTATCCCGAATTCCCGAACCACAATGGTTTCTGTGCCCGGCAGGTTGGACATGTGCGTTGTAACATAAGGAGGCTGAATTGGCCATCACAACTGTTGGCTGCACATCACTTGTTGTGTCCAGCAACTGGCAAGAAGAACCAACAGAAGCCCAGTCCCCATGATGGGTAAGTAATTGTAGGAGCAGACACTTGCCAGTAAAAGTCTCGGTGGCTGACCCATACATATGAACGAAGAAGCCTCTGTTATTCGCAATAAACGCCTCATGGCAGATGTTTGGAATGTTGAATGTAACACTCGGTGGGATAATGGGCCTACAAACTCAAGACAGGTAATGTGAGTGCCTGGCGGAAGCTCGATCGAACGGGGGACACGATGACCGAACAAGAGCCTCATTAGACTCACTGGGGCTGTTTCTCCTTTTGCAAACAAAGCGGGACAGAGATTAGTGATGAAGCAGGATAACCGCGGGAACAACACAGGGTGTGGCGCGGCAGGGCTCCCACACATTTGCCGGACCACGGCCATGTCTGGATGGTTTACCGATATGGTACTATACCATATTATGCCCAAACTATGGGAGTAGGTTGCATGTGGCCTCATAGTGTAATTAATCCGGGTGAAAAGGGAACAATCCGTGGCGATCCAGGAGGCAGATGGCACATTACAGTATCTTGTGCTGGCTGCAACATGCAAAATGAAAAACATACGCGGAGGATGCGAACTAGTAGTTCTTGGACAGCAAACTGTTCCGAAGTTATCGCCAGAAGGGGAGAAGGGGTATCATGGAGTGCCAAAAGCGGCCGGAACAGTTGAAGATCAGCAACGGCTCTTGCTCGTGGCCCCCCACTAGTCCTGGTCGCATGAAGAACAAGGGACGGGGCCTGACAAGCAGCGAGGGTGGGAGAGGCTTGAGAAGTTTGGACGGGGGCCCAAGTCCTCTCGGATGGCAGACTGGGCGTACAAGGTACGGAGTACAAGGCTGTATATAGAAAAACCGAGGAAGAGACACGAGGTGGGACCGTTTTGGCGCCGCCGTTTCGTTTCCCTCGTGAGTTCCGGTCTCTTGAGGAAACACTCATGGTTTGGTTGAAGCGTGTCTTGTTCCACGGTGGCGGTCTCTCCTCTGTTTCTGGCAAGATTATGTGGTCAATATTTAGCTTGACATATGAAGAGCATGCCATGCCACATGCTGCATGATGAGTTCTCCTGACAAGTACGAATCGCGGGGCTTGAGGCTCTGTCGTTGATGAATTTTGTGAGAATGATCGGTCCGATGTTCCACTGAAAGGAGGCAGTGCCACCACTTCTTTGACCAAGTGATGGAGACTGTCGTGGTGTTGGCCATGTTGGGGAGTCCTTGGTGGTCATGTCAAAATAACCAACCCTCCACGTTGGCGGAAAAGCCCACAATCTGCACCCGGCATGGCACACGACCGGCATTTGTAGGTAGGTTGAGGTAGGCACTGGCAGTGGTAATAAAAAGGATTCGGTAAATTGGCTCAGTTGGTTCCATGGCAAGAAAAAGGCGGGCGGTCCAACCATTTTATTTAGCCGATGCTGGATAGGTACTGGGCCGGATGAGTAGCAGCGAGTAGCGACGTGACAAAGCCACTGCCGAAATGTTTTCAATTGTTTCCCGCTCCACGAACACATTGTGCCCGTTGGTGGTGTTCCGTTGGTGGCATTGTAGGGCCGGTCCCAAGAGGCCGGAATGGTGCAAGCGATGCCGCAGCGACACGCGTGGAAGAGACCATGAGCCGGGGAAGGGAGGACGGGAGGAGTGGTAGAAGAGAGCCTTTGGCGCAAGTGACGACGGTAAGGGAAGTGATAGCGAGAAGGATTTGGGTGCAACTGAACACAAGAGAAACGGAGTTGACGGGCCAGTCCTGGAAATGGACAAGGGAAGAGAAAAAACGGGAAATGGTTGAAACGATCCGAAAATGATGGATGGTGTGGGAGCGAGTGTGCCCGCTGTGCCAAGTGTCGGTGCCTTCCCTGAGAAAGGACCTCTCTCCTTGTCGCTTCCCCTTGCAGAGGTGGGGAGAAGGTTAATCGAGCCAATAATTGCTTGTCCTTCGTCAGGAACAGCGAGGACTGGACCCACCCAGCCCACCCAAGCGGCAAGGGACCGTAAAGGTACACGGTGCTCGAAGTGGAGGGGATGGGCCAAGCAGTAGCAACTAGCGGCATCAAATTCATTCACAGTTCAATTGATAGAGGTACACGCCGGCCAGCAGCCAACCAGACAAACCGAACGATCCAGGCTCCACCAAAATCGAACACCTCTTGGCAAATTTTCATCCAAGGGAAAGTATCTTTATATTTTTGCACATTTCAGCTTCGCAGCCAAACAGCCAGAACAAGCCACTTGTGTGACCGAGTGGGTGGTACAAGAAACAAAATTTATAGTGCCAAGACGTCCATCTTTAAGAAGTCGACTTGCCGTCGGGAGCAGTGCTTGTTGCTTGTTGCATGAGTGCCCGTTATTTGTGTGCAGTTGCGAACTTGCGCGCGATGCATGGAAGGAAGCAGGGGAAGGAAGCAGGGGAAGGAAGCAGGGGAAGGAAGCAGGGGAAAGAACTGTGGGCCCGCCCCAGTTTGTGCTGCTTCTTCCAGAGGGGAAGCGCGGGAGGGAGAAGGTCCAAATGGAAGATGAGGAAAACTTGTCCAGGGTCCGGGCCATTCAGTTATGTATCCAAATGTTACTCTCATCCAACGAGAATGCCCGCGCCCGACGCGCAGAGTTCTCATAAATCAATTGCTTCCCCCTTTTCTGTGCCTGTTTTGCCTTTTTTGGGTGAGAACTTTGGCATGCGTGTTTACATGCCGCGTCAATGAGGACCGGACATAAACACGGTCAGGCAATGCAGAATCAAGACAGAAGTGCTGATTAAGACAGACGCCCTGACACCCCTTTCCCGCTGTCACTGAGGAGCATAAACCAAACCAACTTCAACTCATCAAATTGGACACTGCAGAGCCCAGAGTCCAGACGGCCTTTCTCTTCACACGTCGGGAGGAAATAGCGTGCACTATCGTCAGCCACCATGATATTATTGGAAGCCCACCTGGCTCGTGGTTGGTGTGTCTGAAGTCACTGAACGGCGCGGGACTGACTGGGAGTCGTCAGCAAGGGTGTCACTGAGTGAGATGCCTCGCTCATCATCAGTCTCAATTGACGGAGCGGAGCATGCAATCAAGGAACAATCACCGACCAACAATGCGCTCCGTTTCATGTTAGGGTGCAAGTCCCCTCCCGCGCTTGCTGGGGCCGGCGGGTACCCCGTTGGCTAGCGGACCTGGCGGACCCCAGATCCCCTTGGATCATGTTGCCGTGTGCGGTTAAACGGTCCCTTCCCCCCTTCCCCATTTCCCACCCCCGGCTCGAGGTAATATCGCTCCTGGGATCGCACACGCAGCCAAGAGGAAACTTAGTACCAAGGTACCCTTGCAACGCAGCAGCAGCGCTTCGCTTCGCCCCAGCCAGCGGGCCAACGCTCTCTCTCACTTTCTTCCAGTCGCAGTGCTGCCGTCCCTGCTCCTCTCTCCTTCCAATTCCATTCTGGCTTCACACTCAGTCACCCTGGCAGAGTCCCATCGTCGACCACCAACACCACCCACCCACCCGACCACGCACCGTCTCTACCGTCCACTCAGCACACACACCACCAACAGCCTGTCGGGTCCTAGGAGCTGCTGTGCTGTCCTGCCACTCGTTTCTTCCAATCTCTCCGTTCCCTTCTCTTTTCCGTCCACTCACTAGTTTCTACGGTGTCGTTGTTGAGAGAACCCTTTGACCGTCTTTGGGCGCCATCCACTCATTCGTTCAGTTCTGCTCCCCTCACCCTCGCTCGCTCCTACCAACCTTGCCTTACTCACTCTTACTTTCACTCTCACCTACCCTTTTTTTCTCCCTCCACTCCTTTCATCCTTTTCTTCTGCTCTGTCGACCAAATTTGCAACTTGGTTTTTCGGCACCTCCCCCCCTTCGGCGACGTCGTCCTCTTGCAAATCCTCCCCACGACTCGTCTGCCGTCCAACCTCGCCGCCGACGCCAGTTGAGTTGTGACTATTCAGCGACCAGCGACCAGCAAACCCGGACCCAACAAGACACCCGATAGGTCGACGCGCCCTGCCTTGGTTCCTCCTTCTCTTCCGTTTCCCGATGCCCGTCTTGTCATGAACTCGTGCACACGATTCCGACTCCGACTTCGACGCCGCCTCTGACGGACTCTTTGTACCTGCAATCCACAGACGAATTTCTTCGTCGAGCCACTCATTTTGAAAAACCAACAACAAATCAACAGGGGACCGATAATCGAGATTTCCCCCAATTTACCTTGAATGTGAGTGTGGATTTGGCTTGGAGAGGAAGGGCTGGTTGGTGCCTGGTGGTCTCTATTGTGCCTGGTTCATTTAGCGACGACACTCGACAGGGGAAATAATTGGCGGCTACGGGGTGCGCATGGAAACCGGAGCGAAAACCAGGACGACAAAGGGACTCGAGCATCAAGGGACGGGGACGGGGACGGGGACGGGGACGGGGACGCTGACGGGGACCTCGCTGGAGAGGGAGGGCAGTGGTGGAAGGGCTAGACACAACGATCAGCGCTCCCGCAGTCCCTTGCCTTGAACCAGGCCACAACGCACCGTTCCACAGCTGATCGCGGGGATCACCAATACGCTGGATCTCAACCATGGATGTACGATTTCGCTGACTGCTGCTTTCGTCTTCAGATTACCCTCATTTGGCTTATTTGTCAAGTTCACTCGTTACGACTTATCTCCTGACAAGTGAGTTTCCTCCTTGCCGTTGCTGTCGACCCTTGCTGTCGCTGTCGTCTTGTTGCGGCGCTGACACTTCTTCGGTGTAGATTCACACACCGCACCTCGAGTGCCAGCTGACGCCTTCCATTCTCTTATACCGACATCACCTCAGCATCACCAGTGCATGATCAACATCGACTAGGACCCGAACGATGCGGACAGTATCCGTTGTTGCGGCCGCCCTATTAGCGGCCTCGTATGTGGCCGGCGAGCATGTGGAGCACCCCAAGCCCAAGTTCTACTTCCCTCGACATGTCAAGCGCCAGTATGCCAACGCCACGATAACATCCAACGATGCCCCCATCTCCACCATCGACACCTCGGCCGACATCGTGTCGCAGACGACCAAGAGGGAGACGACCAGCAACGACCAGAGCGAAAGCTTGTCGGGCATTCCCTTTGTCAAGTCGACTTCCTCGCGTCTCCTCACTTCGAGCGACTCGCAGTCGGAATCCGAATCCGAGAGGCCTTCTGTCACGACGGTGGTGATTGCGAGCACCGTTTACGTTTCGCCTACTCAGCCCACGACAGTCAGCTTGTCGACTGGCTTCACCGCGGCTCCCTCCGCCCCCCCTGTCGACACGGACTCTTCCAGTTCCGCTGATAGCACTGCCGGCTCCTCTGACTCTACTAGCCAGGATACCGCTGGCTCCTCCAGCTCTGCTACTGACAACAGCTCAAGCGACTCAACTGCACCTACTACGGAAAGCAGCTCTGGTTCTACCACAGAGAGCAGCGCATCTGGCTCTACTACGGACACTACCGGCTTACCTATTAAAGTCATTGTCACCGACAGTGCCAGCTCTTTGGCTTCGGCTTCGGCTTCGGCTTCGGCTTCGTCTTCGGCTTCGACTTCAGCTAGCGACGACGCCATTTTGCCCACCTCCGGCGCCAATACTACCAGCTCTTCGGGCTCTGCCACCGACGCTGCTAGCTCGTCCAGCTCTATTGAAGAGACCGCTAGCTCGTCCAGCTCTATTGAAGAGACCGCTAGCTCGTCCAGCTCTATTGCAGAGACCGCTAGCTCGTCCAGCTCTATTGCAGAGACTGCTAGCTCGTCCAGCTCTATTGCAGAGACTGCCAGCTCGTCCAGCTCTGTTGCAGAGACAGCTAGCTCATCTAACTCTGCCACCAATGTTGCCAGCTCCTCGGCTTCTGCTACTGACAGTACTACCTCTCCCGGCTCCGTCGTAAACACCACCAGCTCGGCCATCGTTGCTACCGATACTACTAGCTCCTCGGCTCCTGCTACCGATGTTACCAGCTCACCGGCCGCGTCGACTGATGCATCTGACTCCTTGACTTCGTCCAGCGCTTTGCCTGCCGTCTCATCGGGAGTCATTGCTAACACAACCAGTCCTGAATCGTCGACCTCCTTGCAGGCTATTGCTCTTCCTACCACTACCGCTGAGCCTACTTCCACGGCTGAGACTTCTACCGTCGAGACCGTACCCACCGAGACAGCCACCGATGGAAGTGCTTCCACGGGTGGGCTTCCGTCTATCATCATCCTTCCTTCGATCCGGACTACCTCGACTTCTGCGGCCGATGTAGCAAACTCAACTGCGCCTGCTCTCGTTTCCGAGACCGCCCCTGCGGCTAACTCTACCATTGGGACTGCCACGGTGTCCGAGATCATTGCAACTGAGGATCCTTTGATTACCAGCTCGAGCAGCTCTGGCATCCTTTTGGCTCCTACAGGCGTCGTCAGCGAGACCTCCAGTGCGTCAATCAACCCAATTGAGTCTTTCGCTAGCAGTGTCGCATCCTTGGTAGAAAGCATACTTATTCCTACCGGCAATGGAACAGCAACCGAACCTACGGCTCCCGTCACTACGTCGGATGTAGTCACGATTCCCTCCGCGACCGAACCTTATGCCAGCGGCTCTGGATCGGGTATTATCACGGCTTCTGCCTCGCTGACTACCAGCGAGTCTGAGTCTCCCATCACTTCTTCAGGCATCGTCTCCATCCCGGTTGGAAACTCGACTGTTACCTCGACCAGCGCCGTCGAATCTGTCCCAATAACAACCGGAATCCCGGAGTCCTCGGTACCTGTTATTCCTGGAAACTCTTCGATCCCTGTCACATCTCTGCCTGACACAACGATAGTTCTGCCCTCAGTCACTTTGATTAACAGCACCGCAGTCGCAGCCAATACCTCAACCATTATTCCAGTCATCGCAACGAGCGTTTCTTCTGAGATCTCGGTACCTGTTTCCTCCCTGGAGCCTGTTACCACCACTCAGAACTTGATTCCCTCGCCTGCGACGACCACGATTAGCACTGGTCCACCGGTTACGCATTATACTCCCACAGCCACCGTGTCTAACATGCCGCCTGGCTATAATAGCCCAACCACGATTTTGGTGGACCAGCCTCCCCCTTCGCAGACCCAGAGCGAGTCCTTCGTGCAACAAACCACAGCGACTGCCCTTCCCACCGAGCTCCCCAAGGCGATTGCCCCTGATGACACGACTGCTCCCAAGCCGGACGACAACATTTTTATCCAGATCGGTTTCAACTATGGATTCAACTACCCGTTCGTGGCCAAGAACAACAACGCTGCGGCGCAGATCTTCCGCCTCCTCCCTGAGGCGCTTGCGTTTGCTGGGTCTATTGAGTCCCACAGAGTAAGAGTCACGAAGCTGATGCCCATGAACACGATGAACACTCTGGGTTACTGGACCACTCTTGCTGTTGTATCATACCCGGAGGCGTATGTTCAGAGTCTTCGGTTGGATGTTAAAAGCGCCAACTCTCCGCTCTATAACAACCCTACTCCGCTGGTTTACAACTTGACAATGCAGATCAATCCTGCCATTGATATCATCCTTGGCTCGACCATAAGCGGCGAAGGCGCAGGCGGCGAGACTGGAAGTAATCCGAACAATGCCGGTAACAACGCGGATCCGTTTACGAACAACAATAACACCAACCAGTCTTCTCAGCAGCGGGGAACCACGGCGGGTATTGTGGGTGGTGCTGTTGCCGTTGCTGCTGCGTATGGCGCGGCCATGTTCGTGATTGCCAGGCGGTACAAGAGGAAGAAGCAGGCGCACAGACGGGCAAGCTCCATCAGCGGAAGCCCGTCGGACATGCAGCAGATGGGTGGGGGTAGCCCGGCTCTAATGGGCGGTGCTCTCCTTAGTAGGGATTTCACCGGCTATGGAGGAGTGGCTGGCGGTGCGGCAGCGGCCGGCGCCGGTGCGCCTGGTGGACGGGATAGTCATGGCAGCGCAAGAAGCGGCATGGGTCTCTCCTCGCGGACGGCTTACATTTCGGCCCCGGTTGCCGCGGAAAACTCTCTCGGGTGGAACTAAATGACGAATGTTGACGGCGACATAGTTCTTGTGATTTCTTTCTCTATCTCGACGACTGACACCGACCATTTACGCTTCAATACCCATGGGGAGGATATTTTTGTTTGATGCGATGAGGACTGCGACATTAGAGACCTTTTTTTTGCGATGTCAATGTCCTGGGAAGATGGAGGCGGGAAACAACTTGAAAAAGAGGAGGAAAAAACGCAACACGATAGACGATTTCTTCGGGGCCGCCTTTTGTTGGCAAACGCTTTTTTGTGATTTTCCCCCATTTTACATGTCAACATTTTTATACCTTCTATCGGCGGACTTGGTTCTGTATGGCCATGCCGCCTGAAATTTAAAAGCCTGGCACCACAATAAAGGGTCGCAGCTGCACTTTTTGCTTGGCGGCGACTCTGGTAACCCAGGATCTTTTTAACGTTTAATTACCTTTTTTCCGTCTTATAGTACATGCTTCGAGGAAAGTCGGCTCCCTGATTCGAGATGGGTGGGCGGCATGACGGTGATCAGTCCAAGAGGGAGAGGGAGAAGAAGTTCATCAGGGACGACGACGGCCAACGACAGAGGAATATTTTCGCTCGACGCCCAAAACCGGCCCAGCCAGCCAATCAGCTTTTCACGCTCGGATTTGGGAAGAGGTGGAGAAGTCGGAATAGGGGAATCGAGAACCGCAAATTTCCCCCATTTCAAAGCGAAGTTGGGTAATCTTTGTGGACTTGAGGAGTAGATGGAGATGAAGAAGCTATGGCTGATGGGGACAATTTAAAAGGTGCTATGTGATGGGTTGTTCTAGCTACATATTTACATATTTCACGTACAACGCCTTGGTTTTGGGCATCGCAACGAAGTTTAGTTTCCTAGGTCGTTTTTTCTATCTATCGTTGGCTGTAGATAATGTTATTACGTTTACACACCCACATACCTTATGTTTCTTATTTTCTTTCGTACAACGTCAATTAGAAATAAGCATTACAAAACGCAGTTTACCAACTCCCGTAGACCTTTCTACCTTATCTCCTCAGCATCACATCCATCGAAAATCGATCTCAGCCGCTGCCTGGGGCTGAGTCCAATTCTCGGCCCCTTGACCTTATGTCCTGTGCCTGTGCAACCACCCACTTTGTGGGGGATACGTAATCTGGAGATCGCCCTGAAATTTTAAACGGGGAAGCTGGCGAGCTGGGTCATCCCAGCCACAAACGTCCAGGCTCCAGCACGTTTTCAGGGGGCAAAACAGGGGCATTCCCTCGTGGTCGGCTCCTCCCGGGTAGGTTCACAGAACTTCTCATACAACCAAGTTTCATCTCATTCTCAACTTCTGAAAATGGAGGAGACGAACTCCGTTCCATTCCAGCTTCACTGCTTCAGGCCTGATTTACAGCGGGCGGGCAGCGAGGTTCAGGAGCTGGAAGGAGAGGGGAGTTGGGGAGGAGGGGAGATACAGCTGGGAGTCCATCATAAACCGGAATATTCCCGCCGATCTTGCGCGTGCTATTGGCTGTTAACAAGGTAGGTGGACAGCTGGCGTTCGGCGGGGTGAGCACTAAACTTGAGGTGAGAGGGTGAGGGTGGTTCATCTCGCTCCTCTTTTTCATGAACTGCGAATGCATGAACTCCCGTCCTAAAACCGGACCTCGGATGAAACTCGTGAAGATCAGACGGGACGAACGGGAGCGGGAACTGGCGGGAACTCCGGACGGATGTTTTGACAACAACAGATGCCGTTCCAGCAGGATTCACAGAGGGGACGCCTAACATTGGATCGCATTACATAGCAGCGCGTTCGCAGTCCAGTGCGTCTAGGGGTACGCAATTCAAGCTTTCTGGGGCGATTTCTAGGCAATCTGGGGTGCATAAGGTTACCCGTTACCGCTCCGCCTGACCTAGCTGCTAGCACACCGACTGTGCATGTGGAAAGGAGCTGAAGTGGAAGCCTGTGTGGCGACGTCACTTGTCCCCAACTTTGACAACCCCTCTTGTCAATCCAATCTCTCAATCCCAACCAAATCAACATCAGCGCCGAAGAACTGGATCAACCGAATCGAACCGTTCAATACCAAATCGGCATCTCTTCTCATTGCCCACTGCGCCAAGGTCAACAAAGAACAGCAAACGGGCACAAGGATACGGAGTTAACCCAGCCAGGGGCACAAAGAAAGGACAAAAGGGGGGCGTCCGCAGAAGACCATCCCGAATTCTTAACAACGACAAAGAGAATCAATCACACGGCAGACACCGAAGCACGCACAGCCGACTTTATCGAATTCTTGGAAGCCCCAAAGGAAGGAAGGAAGTGTGGAAACTTGCGATAGCAGGCGACAATGACGGCGACAACCTCCTTTCGGGATGGATCGGCAGGAGGAGGAGGAGGTGAACAAAGGAGCGGTAGTGCGGTAGTTGATGAGCAAGGGCAAGAACAAGGACAAGGGGGAGGAGCGCTCAACAGAGAGAGAAAGTGGGATGATGGGTTCCCGTTCCCATTGACGGAAGAGCCAGGTCATCGACAGGAACGACTTGCGGCACGTGGAACTGGAAGTCGTATAGGAACAGGAAAGGGCAACGACCGAAGTACCGGAGTAAGCCAAAACGGTCACCGCGCTCAAGGAAACGGCGGTGATGGAAACGGTACATCTTTAGACAACAACGACAAAGGACAACAGCCACTTTTACAGCAGTCTTCATCAGGGACATCCAACTCAAAAGACTTGTATGGCCACAATCACAATCACATGTCCCTAGTATCAGACCCACCGAGCTCAAATGACACAGACACGGACTTTTACTCGGCCTCAGATACCGATACCCAAAGTAGTACCGACTCCTCTGACTCGGAAGAAGACCGCCGGATATCGACTGAACTTCACCGCGAAGTTTTCTTTAGCGCTGTTGGTGAGGAGGAGGGGTATGAATTGACTTCTACCAATACAAAAAAGAAGTCAACCAGGAAGTCGAAGAGAAAGGGAAGGAAGGGGAACAGAAAAAGGGGAACGAGCAAATTCCCCGATCTTGATGATGGTCTACTTGACAGCGGTAGGCGGGGGAGGAGGCAAAGGCAAAGGGGAGTAAGTGTCAGCACAGCGACAAGCGGTAAAAGCTTCCGGAAAAAGCTACGATATACGCCCGAGGAGGAGAGGGCGGTGGTGAAGAAGTTTGATCGCAAGCTGGTGCTTTTCGTGGCGCTGCTTTATATGTTGAGCTTTTTGGATCGGTCTAGTGAGTTTTGGCTTTCGGTTGTTCTTGGTTTTGATGAGCGGTTGTCATATGCCTTTGGCATTGTTTACTTCCACAAACTGCCTTTCCCCGGCCTCTTTTCCCATGGCTGATCATGATGCTTACCACCCAACAGACATCGGCAACGCCCGCATAGCCGGCATGGATGAAGACCTCCAATCGACTCCTCCCAAAGAGGACTGGTACGAATGGGCCTTGACAGCCTTCTACATTGCCTACATTTGCTTCGAGTGGATGTCCATGCTCTGGCGATTGATACCCGCCCATATCTACGTCTCGGTCATTGTCTTATCCTGGGGCTTGACGGCTTCGCTACAGGCTGTAGCAGTTAACTACCCCATGCTCATCTTTTTGCGCACAATGCTGGGTATAGGCGAGGCGGCCTTTACGGGAGTGCCGTTTTACCTCTCGTTCTTCTACAAGCGGCATGAGTTGGCTCTTAGGACGGCCATTTTCATATCCGGTAAGTACTCAATTCACAAACCTCAAAGCTTCAGTATATTTATTGACTCAGCAACACGTAGCTGCCCCCCTAGCGACCTCCTTCGCCTCCTTCCTCGCCTGGGCCATCCTAAAACTAGGTTCCATCTCCCCCATCCGGCCCTGGCGACTCCTTTTCTTGATCGAGGGATTTCCCTCCGTCATCGTCGCTGTCTTAGCCTGGCACATCATCCCGGATTCACCACAAACAGCTTCCTACCTCACCCGTCGCGAAAAGAAAGTCGCTGCTCTTCGTCTCCTCCCCGCTCACCCCTCCTCTCAAAAACCCCAAGGCCACCACGGCCTCAAAACGCGCGATATCCTCACAACCCTCCTCTCCCCCCGTCGCCTGGCTAACCTCCCTAATCTTCTTCCTAACCAACCTCTCTTATTCCTCCCTCCCCGTCTTCCTACCCACAATCCTAACACAAATGGACCACACGCCCTTAATGTCGCAAATCCTTTCCGCCCCGCCCTATCTCTGCTCCTTTGTAATAGTCCTAGCAACCGCTTATTTATCAGACACGTACCGCTCCCGCTCCTATCCATTAATCTTCCACGCCCTCCTCTCTGCCTCCGGCTACTCAGTACTAGCCCTTTCCGAGTCCCTCGGCTTGCAGCCCGGTAGTTGGATCCGCTACCTAGCCGTCTACCCCGCTGCTATCGGCTTCTTTAACGTGGTGGTGTTGACGATTGCGTGGAGTATTAATAACCAGCGGACTGAAGGGGGTAAAGGGGCTGGGTTTGCGCTGATGCAAGTTATTGGACAAATGGGGCCGTTGGTGGGGACGAGGCTGTACCCGAAGGGGGAGGGGCCGTATTGGGCGAGGGGGATGGGGGTTTGTGCGGCGGCGATGGTTGGGGTGGCGGTGTTGGCGGTGGTTTTGAGAGGGTATTTGGTTTGGAGTAATGGGAGGATGGAGAGGGAGGTCGGGTATGAAGGTGTGGGTCAGGATGAGGAGGAGGGACTGGTTGATGGAGAGGGACGGCGAGGGAGGGAGGGCGAAGAGAAGTTTAAGTATATGTTGTGAGCGATGTGGTAGTTTGTGCTGGGGCTGCTGGTTTAGATGTAGTAAATGGACTAGGTCGATCTGCTATATACCCGTAGGCTTGGGTTTCTGTCTACATAACCAGGTCACACCAGCTAGGTATAGTGATCGATCTAGAGTACTGGTGCAGCCTTATAATCAGTTGAACGTCCTCTGAAATTCGATCCAGCCTTAACGAAACCGAGAAACGGACAAAAGCTTGTTTCGGCATGGCAGTAACTATACCTCGGCCTTTAACCTTGCTTTCTGAGCTAACCGGGGGGCTATCTCAATCCAGAAAGAGAGCTTTTGATATAGGGTGCAGTTATAGAGGATATGGTTATATTGGACGTAATCATATAAGATTTAGCTATATAGCATTTAGCTATATGTGTCCTTGCTTCCGCTTCAACCTCCTTCGCCTTCAATGAAATCCCACCCCTCCGACACTATCATGGTAAACTGAGCATGCATCTACACTTGACAGATTAGGTGTTGTATAATCACCTACAGCTTCATACCTCCCTCCTTCAGTCTGATCCGTCCAAATACTTACCTGTGTACTAACCTTCCATCCGACAATCCGACCATGCGCCACGCATCATTCCCTTACCTATGTGCCCGAAGCCGCTCAACCCAGCTCGTCATAGTAGTCGTCGTCGTCGTCGTCGTCGTCAGCTTCGGAAGACTAGGTTCCTATCTACATATCTTTGTACATACGTCTACTCGCTGCTACCCACCCTATCGACCATCGGCTCCCCACTAAGAAAGATTCTCGATGCAAGCATGTAAGGCACAACATGTTCTTCTCGCCCCTAGTTCCCTGCTGTACCCCCTAATGTCTGCCGTGTCGCACTAGAAATCCCTCTTCAACCCATTAGATGCGACGATCGTCGGCCGTCAGAGTGGGAAATGCGTGGCATAGCAGGGATCCTTGTTTTGTTACATGTCACCAGCCAGTCCCTCATCCTCGTCCTCGTCGAGATGAGAGAGAGAAAAGAGGGACTGGAAGCTCCAAGCGTTGTGGTTGGCCCAATCAGTAGGTAACTAAGGCTCGGATGGAGGCGTCCGGACGAAGATTAAAACGAATATGAATGCGGACGTTACACATTCGTGTTCTATACGTGCGTGCGTGCGTGTTCCCGGGTTTGAGAGGGGGTTTGTGTTACGAGCATTGACTGACACTTGGAAAAGAAGAAAACGGTGATGGTCAGTTTCCATTGGTTTTGTGCTTGAACGGGAAAACGGAAATGAAGAGGTACTGAAACACTTCAAGCCATAATCAAGCAGTGTCTCATGAAACTACTTGTAGTTCTTTACATAACCCCTGTGCGTTTCAATAAACATGATATCGGTACTTATTATCCCCCCTGCCCATCCCAACTCCATCATAAGGATGCTTTGAAGCCCATCAATAAACAAGGAATCGCCCTCCTAGAAGCCCCTAGAATCATGCAACGCAAGTAGAAGCATCAACAACATGAATCTCAACAGTAACATCCTCCACCTCTTCGACACTTCCCACATCCGACCCGATCTTCTTCTCAACAACAGCTTTGATCATCAGTTCTTTTTCAGGGACTGCTACGTGTTCATCACCAGCAATCTTTTCAGCCGCCCCCAGCTCTGACTTGATAGCATCAACCTCCATAGCAGCAACATGATCCGTGACAGATTCCTCGAGAATGGTAACAGGCACAATAACAGACTCAACCTCCTTAGCGGCAACAGAAGTAATCGCAGCACCACTGGCCTTTGACATCTTAGACATCTTCCTCCTCTCCTTCCTGGCTTTGACATTGGCCCTGAACCGCTTCGAGACTCCCTTTCTCTTCGCACGAAACTTGCGAACGACCCATTTCTTGGCTTTGATCGGCCTGCGAAAGATGTAGCGAAGAAGTCTCAAAATGGAGCTCTTGTTCTTGTTTTGCTGCTGGCGGGGATAAGGCCCTGATGGCTTCCTGACATTGGTTCCTTGAACACCATCGAGGAGAGGAACATTCGTTATATCAGTAACCGGAGTGACAATGGGTGCGACCTCTACGCTCCCCTTCTTGGTAGGTGAACCGAATGAGAAGGGAAGTGCGGCTCTTGACTTTGGTTTGAGGTATCTCTTCTCCAACGTGGTCGGAGATTCGGTTGAGAGACGCGGAGGGTCCGTTGACACACGAGGGAGACACTGCGTGGACAGGTTACTGGGCGCTTCTTCTGACAACAGCGCGAATTTTGAAGAAGCCAAGGCGCGGTCGCGGGGAGCCATGTCAATCGAGGGAAAGGGTGTTACACCTGTACCGCTGGGACCTGATGAACGTGGACGTTGTCTAGGAAGCGTGGAGCTGTTGCTTTTGCCCCTGTGCAGGGCGGCAATGGCTAGGCTGATAATGGACTCTGTGTTGACGGCTGAAATGTCGGCAAGAATTTCGTCGGTGTCACTGCCGTTGAGGCTGTGAGTCTTTTCGTGCTCAATGTTCTCAATGTGCTCAACCTCTGGCTTGGTCAACTCCCGCTCGGTGATCTTGATACTTCTATCATAGCCTGCCACTGAGGGCTGGGTTCCGCATTCAATGACCTCGTTGTTCTTCGCCGCTTCCTGCTCGCGATAGAGATCTCTCAAGGCACCCTCGACGGCAACCGGATTCAGTCTGCCACGCTGGTTTGAACCAGCAGACTCCTCACTGCTTCGCAGAAATGAGGAGTTCGAGAAACCGTAAGCTTCCAGGCTAGAGAGGATGCGTCGACCGAAGGTCATGGGAGGGGAAACGGTAAGCTCGGGGCTTTTGACACCTTCAGAAGGGTATGATGACGAGGTACTGCGGACGGGAAAGAATTGGTTGAAGAAAGATTCGGCATCAAGGGACGTCCCGATTTCCGCTCCACCCTTGTTCGGCATCAGTGTCAGTTCTGGTGATTCGGATGGGCTTTCGAAAGAAAACATTCGATGGAGGAAGGTAGAAGCATTGCTATCCTCGGAGGTCTGCTTGAAGTCATGGCTGGGAACCAGACCATCGCCAGTAATTAGACGGGCTGGTGTCGGTCGGCGTGGTGTATCTTTTTGTTTCGGGGTCTTGTGGGCGTTGGCAGGCGTGTTGGGTGTATCGGTCAATGGTATGTTTTCGAACTCCCCTAGGGATTCGTCAGGGTCGACGTGTCCAGGCTGTTTCCGATTGATGTCCTTCTCCTAGAGGCCAGCAAACGTATTGGGGATGTTCAGGCGTCGGCGGCCGGGTGAGCTGAGGACACGCTCAGAAGCATTCAACCTGTTGTTCGACAGAGGCTGAAGACATGCTGCATCGCGGTTCGGGTTTCGAGCGGGGAGGCTCAAAGCTGACATATTGATGAAGATGACCTGAAGCTAGATGTGATGGTGTCTGTACATATGTTTGATGACAGGTAATGCTGATGAGTACCTAAGCTGGCAACGTGCGATGTCGAAGGTCAGAAGTATGAACTGGCTGTTCAGTTGCCGCCGAACTTGTCCTAACGCGTGTCTCCCCTCGAAGGCACTCCTTCCCAAAAACAGCTGTTGAGTCAATCAGGCCACTTCCTTTAGTAGTCCGCCAACTTTACTGGAAGCAACTTCCGCAACCTGAGAGTCGAGGAAGGAAGCACCGGTAGCCCATACCCTCCGAATATCCGGATATTGGAATACAAGTAATCAAAGAATGGGCAGAAATAGAAGGTATCAAACGCCGGATCCCTACGGCGCAGCCATCCTCATCTTGACCATCGCCAACTCAGCGCTCTTGGCCCATGACCCATCCGGTGTCTGGCGATAACACATCAACTTACCCTCATCACCCACACTCCCTAAAATCTGGCCATCATCATCGAACCCGACCCTCCACACCGGCGTCCGATGACTATCGAGCCTCGCAACTTCCGTAACCACATGCCTAACCTGGCCCGGCTGCTGCTGCCCCCCAAGTCTCATCCTATCGCCCACAGTCCCACTGCCCATCCTCGACTGATCCGCCAAACCCGCTCTAATGCCCGACTTAAGATGCGTATCCTGCCCATGCCCCTGCTGTGATGCCAATGCTCTAGAAGCCGCAGTCCCACTGCCACCATCTTCTCTCCTGCCTCCTCCTCCAACTCCATCCTGATGCCTCCTCATCTCCCCCACCCCCCACCCCCTACTTTCCTGCCCTTGCGGTGGCGGCGCCGGCGTCGACAGTCCAAAAACCCTCACATACCCATCCTGACACGCCGTAGCCACAATATCATACCCCCTAATATTCCCCGGCGCCCACGCCACGTCTCTCACCAGCCCTCTATGTCCCACGCTATTCACATTCACATTCGCATCACCACCACCCTTTGCTGACAAACCAGGAATCTCCGCAGCGAGATAAAATTCCCTCGCCGCAGTCGCCACCCCCAAACTCGCGCTCACCGTGTCCCTCGTCCTATACACCTTAACAGTATCCATAGCCGCCACCACCAAGCCCAGTGCATCCGTCGGCACGCCCGCCCTCAGCGCGGTGTAACACACTTCGGGGTTCGGATCGAAGCGCACGCGAAAGGAAGTTTCTTCGCCACGGGCGGGCTTTTGCGTTAGCACGGAGAATCGGTCGATGCGGCTGAACTCGGTGATGTTTTCGGGGGTTTCGTTTTCTAGCACCTCTAAAGTGCCGTCTACTGATAAAAGGGCGAGGTAGGTGTGGCGCGTGTCGTCGTTATGTTTGAGGCTGAAGGACCGGATGGGCGATTTCGGGTTGCGGTAGTCGAAGGCTGGAGTGGGCTTGCTGTCGCCGGAGGAATGGAGGGAGGAGAGGCCGATGCCACTACCAACGCCGTCGCGACGGGAGGAGGATAAGGTGCTGGCGCCGTGACCACCGAGATGGCCGCCGTGGTGCCCGCCGTGCCCGTGCCCCATGAGGTTGACGCCGAACCGCCGGCCTGGTGCGGCCGAGGGATTTTCAGCCCAGAGCTTGAAGCGGCCTTCGATGCCGAGGGAGGCGAGGAGGTTGGGGTAGATAGTTGGTGGGAGCCATTGGAGCTGTGAGATAGGTTAGATGGCTGTTTTTGAGTACCTGGAGAAATGGATAAGTGAATGACTTACCTCTAAAATCTCACCACCGTGAGCACTCCAACTGTCGCAAACGCGCCACTTTCCATCCTTGTGCCTGTTGAAGACGCGAATCTTGCCGTCGACGGATCCAGTGGCGCAACGGTCGCCGTAGCTGTTAAATGCGACGGCCTGGACCAGATCCTGGTGGCCATGGTTCACGATGGGGTCTATGGTTGACTTGGCGTCAATGGCGGGCGGGTCGCCTAGGTATTGACTGAATTTGGACATGATTTGTGACTTGGTTCAATCTGATGTTGAGGTTGTGATGAGTGAAGGAGATCGGACGGAGGGATTGTGAAGTGAGGTTGAGAACGGGAGCCAAGCCAGGAAGTGCCCGGTTGGTGGGGGTGAAGTACCGCTGAGGCGCCTGATGCTTGCAGTGACTTTCAGTGGATGTTGACCCCTGGCTCAAAGCACCCTGCAGGCCGCCCGGAACTGGGACCAAGATCCACCGGGACATCCCGTCCAATGCCCCCGGCATCCGGCCCGGTCCCGGCCAAATGTACGTAAACTTGTTGATCCCAAACGCGATGGAAGAGATGCCGATGTCTTGGAACCTCTTATTTGTGATGTCAATTTTCGATGGTCGTCAGTTAGGGAATGTGTATATGCATATCTATGTCTATATGACCAAAAACATGTGTACAGGTGAAGATGCCTAAGTCTAGGTAAGAATCAAGAAGCTATATATCAACCCCCTTCAAACCCCCCAAATTATTGCTTAAACACAATCAACGCCAACCGATGCCTCACAAACAACCCAAACAGGCCCACGACAACTTGCATCCCCGTAATCTCCATTGCCAGCCTATCCTCCCTCAACGGGCCCCTCCACACCAACCACAAGTTCAGAATCGTAAAATTGCTCGTCTCCACGAACCTACCCTCCTCATCCAGCGTGACCCTCAACAACCTCAGCTTATCCAGCGTCTTCAGCCCCCACGCGATCAACGGCTTCGGCTGTCTCTCGGGTGTCCATGACGTCACGCTGGGCTCCAACAACCCCGTGCGCGCATTGAACCTCGGCAGCCGATGGCGCGGACAGGGCACCAGCCCAAACAGCTGCGGAACCGAATAAACAAAGTTGAAGATCTGCGGGATCAAGAGTAAGATCAAAGTCTTACTGAAGTGCCCCAATATGCTAACCACCACGAAGACCATGCCGGCAAAGTAGCAGTACGTATCCCCCACAAAGACGCGGGCGGGGTACCAGTTGTGCCAGAGCAGGGCAAACGAGACGCCCAGGAAGGGAAGCAAAAAGTAAAGCGAGAACAGGTGGGAGTCGGTAGCCGGGTGCGGGAATGGACCGCCCGAGGGCGTCAAGAGGTAGAGACAATCGTTGAAGGCGAGCAGCATCGCGATAACGATGGACTGGGTGACTTCGATGCCGTTGATGCCGGCCAGGATGTTGATACTGTTGGGGGAAAAGATGGCGACCGAGGCCATGTAGACGTAGTATAGCGCGCCGAGGTTGAAGAGCTCGCCTAGGTAGGGCTGTAAAGGGAGCGGGATCACGACGGAGGTTACGCCGAAGTCGACAAAGTAGACGACCAAAAGAGGGATGGAGGCGAAGGCAGGGATGAAGAATTTGTGCCGCCAGCGGATGTCGAAGAGGTCGTCGCCTATGCCGAGGAGGGAAATGGATTGGAGGGCCATGACGGCGGAGAGGTAGGAGGCTAGCTATTGTTGTCGTCAACTGTTAGCACCTGTTTCTCACTCTTCCCGGACCAGAGGACAACATACCTTCCCATGTGGAAACCGATGCAAGAACCTCCCCTCCTGTACATGCTCAACATGCATCACCACATCCCTATTTCCACCGCCGCTGGTCGCCGCGACAATGTCCTTGTAAAACGGGAACGGGATGAAGACGATAACAGCCAGCAGGTATACAATGGCCGCTATCCCGCCCATACACTCCGGTAGCTCCTTCTTGTGGTGTTTGCTCATATCCACGCCCTTCAAGCCGGCTTTCATAAAGGTCGGTCCCAGCCATCTGATCATCGAGAAGGTCGCGCTAAACGCCAACCCGCTGAGCGCGAACGAGGCAATGAGCGGGTAGCCATCGCCTTGGAAGGTGTTGGCGAGGACGGCGACGCAAGCGGCGGAGAGGGCGATAAGGGAAAGGCTCTCGGCCTGCGAGAGCGAGTTAGGTGAGTTATGATTATGTTGGTGGTGTCCCGTCATCCTTGTCGTATGGTGTGCGATCGTTTCTGCGACGGTTTTCGTAGTTCGGGAAATTCGAGGAAAGTTCGAGGAGAGGTAGCGAAATGCGTGATCGCGAGCTACCTGGTCATTTGGGATAGCATTGGCCGCTTATCGAGGAAAAAGGTAAGGAACGTCGGTATCGGATCGATCGATCGATCGAATTGGTGTTTGTTAAAAAGCGCAAAACGAGTGGTGGCGCGAGTAGAGTTGTGAACGTGATCGTGAAAGATGAAAATTGGAAATGGAATCAGAGGAAAGAGAAAGACAAAAAAGACAGATGTCCAAAATGACGATATGCACCCGTAATTGTGGGGAGCTTTCGGCGCGTTCCAGCCTTGTGGACCTGCTGATTGCCGTTGTGTTACAGGGGCTTTGGTGGTGTGCTGAGACAGGGGTTTGGACGCCCGGTTTAATTGGCATCTTTTCCCATTGGATAAGCGGCTGTGTATAAGTGAAAAGGGGGTAACCATCATGACATGTGAAAAGAAAGTCGACATCAGGCATGGGAATAGCTTCATGTTGATGAACCTTCTTTGACGTTCGTTGAACGGAAATATCCTGTTAGTTCCACCAAAAACTAACACTAAAACTAACACTCAACCCCCTCACATAATGCCACCACCCAATCGGTATATAAAGCGCATCTCCCGGCTCCAAGATACAATCCACAAACGGCACCTTTTTGAAGTCCTCCTCCCAAGCCTCTCCTTCATTTTCATCCTCACCTCCCTCCCTGCCCTCCCCGTCACCCTGAAGTTTATCCCACCCCTCAACAACCCCCAAATCAACCTCACTAGTATTCCCCATTTCCACGCCCCCCTCTTTTCCCCTCGGCCTCATCCTTCCAGTCCCCGTCTCTTCGGGTCCATACAGCCTCACATACTTCCTGCCCACCACTTGCACCAGCAGATTATGGTACGGATCCGTATGCAGCGGCGTGATCGTGCCCGGCGGTCCAAACCACGCGTTGAGTTGTGGTGAGTCAAGTTCCGGTTGATCTTGGCTCGGGTCCGTGGGGTGTGAAGGAGGCGCGGTGTAGCACAGGTCCGGGGTTAGGATGTCTTGCCGGAGACGGGGGAGTTGGAGGAATAGGGGGTGTTGGGCTAGGTAGGCTATTTGGGAGTTGGTTTTGGGGTTGTCTTTTTCGGGTGGTAGTGAGTTGGAGGAGGGTGAGGACTGCGGTTGCGGTTGGGCTAAGGAGGAGGAGGACGAGGACAGGAAAGGGGAAACGTTAGAAGAGGGAAGGGTGAAAGGGATAGAAGCGTCGATGTACTTGGATAAGAACTCGCCAAAGGAGATGATCTTTTGTCCCCAACCTTCATCGACGTAACTGCGGCCTATCTCAACGGGGACAAGCCGTCGGCCGGAGAGCGTGCGAGATAAGAGGTAGGCGGGCTTGTTCCAGTGGTGGGTGGTGAGTGCTGGCCAGTGGTCTACTAGACCTGTGATGATCAGGGGAGCTGGGCCGGGGCCGCGGTCCGGGCGAGGTTTCGCAAGGTGTGACTGAAATGCTTCGATGGAGAGGGAATCGGCAGAGACTCGTGGGATTGGATTCTTGACAGGCGGCGTGAAGGGTTCGTTGGTGGAAAATGGTGGTGTGTTTTGCCAGCTGTTGTTGACTTCTCCGTCTTTGGTAATGGAAGACGGTGAGAGACGGCGCTTTTTCTGCAGTCTTCCGCCTTCCTGCTCACCGTCTCCCTTCTTAGCTCCACCACCAGCTGTAGCCATAGCTTTCATATCCTCCAGAACGTCCTCCAACAATCCAAAAGCTTCATCAACCCACTTCCTCCCTCGACTGTTGCCCGCCGCTCCAGCCAGTATCAAGCTCAGATCCAGCGTCTTGACCATCTCATCCACCACTCTCTCCCTCTTGATCCTTTCTCCTTCTTCTTCTTCTCCTCCTTCTTCTTCTCCTCCTTCTTCTTCTCCTCCTTCTTCTTCTCCTCCTTCTTCTTCTCCTCCTTCTTCTTCTCCTCCTTCTTCTTCTCCTCCTTCTCATCCCCCTCCTTCAGCCCCGCACCATCCTCAAAGTCAAACTCAAGCAAAACCAAACCCGCAAACCTCAAAATCGCCGTATCCGTATAAAGCTGTCGCCAACAGGTCGGCACCTCCTTATACAAGTACGCGTAAAACTTGCCATATGCGGTTCTGGTCAGGAGTTCGAGTCTTCTTTTGACCAGAGTAATTGCTTTTTGGCGCTGTTCTGCTTCGGGTTTGAAACGGACATTGCCATTGTTGGCTTGACCAACGACGTCGTCAGCAGTATCTCCGGAACCTGATGACGAACTTGATTCGTACAGCTGTAGAATTATCGACGCTTGTCGACATAAAAGTTCGACTAGTGGTTCTTCGCAGCCTTCTAGTCCGCCAAGTCGGATTTTTCTTTTCCTCCGATGCTATCGACGTTGGGCAGGGGCTTTGGCTTTGGCTTTAGCTTTGGTGAACTGGCATTGTGATTGTGATTGTAGTGAGGTGATGATGATGATGATGGAGATGGAGAATCAGGTTCGTCGTCAATGATGATGTGGGCGCATTCTTGAATGATCTGTCGGGCTGCGCTTAGGCAATGGTCGACAAGTTTTAACGTCGGAGTGGTTGTTGTCATTTTTTTAAATTTTTTTTGTCAAGACATGTGAAGTTGCCAACGAGATGGAGAGGACTGGGGTTGTTTCTTTGTTTACCTTGCGAGGGGTTTGTAAAGGAGGATGGAAAAGGGGGAAAGCTTGAAAAGAGAAAGTGACCAACCAGATTGCAACTTTTGTAACAGACCCATGTTTATCTCTTATGCACGCTTTGATGCGCGGTTTATGTAACTTGTGCACAGACTCTTCTCATTGGCTGTTTTGACGATTGGATGAATGATTGCCCGCTGCCTGCCACTAAGCACTAACAGCAACCATCACCCACTGGGCTTTGTTCTAACCTCGAAATGTTGATGAGACATTGAAACCGCAACCTGGCAACGGGGATATCTATGGATACCTCCGGTGAGTGATCCAGAATGAAATTGAGTGCTGGTAAAAACAACGCAAACACTGTGCCGCGAGCAAAAATTCCGTGGAGAAAAACGCAACGCTTGCTTTCGTTCAACAACCCTGAATTGAAGTGAAACCCGCCCAATGACATGATCTGATCGTGGAGCACCAAAAACTCTTTTTCCTGTATGGTGGGAATGGTGGCGCCCCTTTGGGAGCTTGGGAGCGCGAGAGCGGTGGCCGCCTGGTCGGGAACCCTTCTGGGCACTCCCATCTCAGTCCCTTTTTAGGTCTTTTCACTGTGCACACTGGACTACTGGACTAACTGCTGGACTAACTGCTGGACTGACTGGGCGTGCGTCTGGGCTCCTCACCTCAACTTTCTCGTCAGCTTCCTGCAGTTTGCTTTCAGGTTGTCAGGTTGCGTGCAGTGTGCACCACCGGATACACACGAACGAACCCACGCGCACCCCCCCCCCTAGGGCAACCCGACACGGACGCCCCAAAAAGCAGCGGTCGTCGAGCGAGTTCCCGGGGCGCCCTCGTTCGTCCAACAATTCTCCCCTCCTCGGTTTGGCCCCACCCCCTTACCCGACAGTTCGGGTTCGCGGGCCCTTGACTCAGATCCAAATGTATCCAAACTGTCGGGTTCCAAGGTGGAACGCAAAAACAAGTAACAAAGGGTCGTGTCGTGCTTACGTACTGCGCTGCGCGCGCATGCAAATCAACGGCTGCGTGCGCGCGCGCGCTTGTTGGGGAAGTGGAATTCCGGACCCGACAGTATGGTTTGACTTGGAAAAGGGCCGATGTGACATGTCGACATCGAATTCGAAAAACAACACTTTGGAAAAGACGAATTTGAAAACTGAAATCTTTTCTGTTCCTGTCTTTTTTGTTTACCGCTTGCTCGCCAAATATTTCCTATGTCTGCTGATGTTGCTGCTGCTGTTGCTGCTGCTGCTGCTGACCGCTGCCGAAACTGGCCGTGCTGGGATTCGCGCTCAATGGCGGCTTCTGGCCTATTATGACATGTATCGGCACTTGTGCATGGGCCGTCCGGTCGTTCAGCGCAGCCTTCACACTGTCGCGGAGCTCCTCTCTCTCCCTCTCCTCTATTCCGTGCTCTATGAACGGCCTTGCCGACATGGCAACGCATAGGTCCATGCTTACCTCCTTCATGAGCCGCCCTATGACGCGCAGCCGTTGTTCCCTCGCCCACCCACCTAGCGGTACGTTGTAAGTCTTTCTGCGCACATTGATGAACCCTATCCTCAGCATCAACTCTTCGAGGCGGTCGGCGATTTCAACCTCGAATCCGTATCTGGTCGACAGAACCTCGTTCCCTAGATGGAAAAATCTCACCAGCGCGCTATCAGGTCTGACCGTGTGATCGCCGAAAACGTGTGGGCTCATTTCTGCGGACTCAACCCAACCACCAGGTTTGAGGTTCCTGCGCAGTAGTAGAGGTTAGCTATGGTAAAGCAGAAAATGGAAAATGACATCGGTAATCTTACTCAAATATCCTCCGGAACAGTGTCGTGTTGTCCTTGAGCGCAATGCTGACATAGCGCAGATGGATAAAGTCAAAGTCCGAGTCTTGCACCCACTCGTCTTCGATATCGTCTACCACAAACTCGACATTTGGCGGAATCCAGACTGGCTGGATCGGAGATAAGTCGACGCCTACTACTTTTGCGCTAGGAAACATTTCTCCCACTGGCAAAGAATTAGTTTGGTGTAAGAACGAGGCGCAAGTGGCTCACCGCAACTCTTTTCTCGGTAAACGTACTTTCGATGGCCCAGTCGCCAAATCCAGTCCCAAGGTCGGCAATCTTTTGGGGATGGTTTCCGATCGGCGCAACAAACAGTTTTCCTTCCAGTATCTCCTTGAACATGGCATGTCGCATGTACTCGCGGTTGTACTCGAGGTCGTCGTTGGGTATTGGGTATCTTCCTTCACGAAACGTATGGTACCGTCTGGACCGAGCATTAGCAACAGCACAGGCAAGGAGTCTTGGGCAACCCTGTTCTCAACACGCACCTTCCATATTCCCAGATGTGGTCGTTCACGCTGGATGTCAGAGAGCCATACCGCGACTCGGCTATGCTTGGGTCATAGTCCGACGTGGCTGTATCCTCCCCGCTCTGCCATTCGCCTTCGCCCAGCGGCTCGATATTGCCCGCTCCTTGTTCCATCGCGTGGTCGTCAAGTTGTCTAGAGCAAATCTCCTGTCGACTCTTAGGGCTGATGTTTGATTCGATCCTGGCTGTTGTAAGTACCGAGTGCCAAGTTGGAGATGCCTGATTCATCTTACCTTTGACAAAGAATCCTTTGCCTCGCTGCTGGATCCGCTTAGGTGTTTGATGTTCTGGAAAGCCCGAGGGAAGTTGTAGATACGGAATAAGAACACTTTGCCGGAAAGAACGTAGTGGACCAGGTAAAAAGGAAACCGAAACTGGAGCTTGAGGCAGACGCTTCCAATGGGTGCTTGTTGTCTTTCGGGTCAGTCTGGGAAGGGACTCGTAACTCACTTGGACTTGTCGGAGAAGCCCGACCAAGCAAAAGAGAGAGACAAGCGGCCGGGGGAAGGGGGAAAATGTCTGATATTGGAGACATATCAAGGAAGTCCGAATGAAGAGCTTCAAAAGGCGGAGTGCCGTGGATACTCGGGGGCTTATACACACGGTAGACACCGCAAAGAAAGGAATAATTACCTGGACTATGAGGGGCGTGTAGAGAGCGGAGTGGGTATGAGAAGTTACCGGGGCGCCAATCAAGGGGGGAGGGATCTCTAATGACATGGGCCGGATGCAAATGGGAAAACGCCATCTATGCATCTCCAGCACCAGCGCACCGAGTAGCCCGAGCTCGGGTCTCAGTCAGGCCCTGTCTGCTACGTGTAAAGGGCCAAGAAACCTGAAGCATTGCCGCGCTAAGAGGTCCCTATGGCCTTATGTACTACGTGGAAGCAGAGATTCGAACCCGGAAACGTACCAGTAGCATCCCGGTAGCGTAGCCAGGACACACAGCGTAGCACCTACCTAGCAAGCCGGTTCGGCAGACGAACCCCTCCCCCAGCTCCTGGATCCATCATCCCACAACCGCTGCGGGAGCCGCAACAGAGCCCACCGTGCTGGGACAGTTCCAGTCTGACACCCCCCTGGTCTCGGGGCGGCAGGCCAGGGAGCCAGTTGCCAGGGCCCCAGGGGAGCCAATCTACCCGGCCGTGTCGACACACACCACACCCAGCAACCCCGACACGCAAAGGGAGGACCAAGCCTGTTACCGACCTGTCGGGTACGAGTGCATAGGCATTCCGGTAGGAATTGGCATGGGATGTGCGAGAGCCACCGTGGACGAGCGAGCAAGGGCATGATTCTAGAATAGGATGTCGTCCCCGAAAACAATCCAACCTGTACCGAGGCCACTTGGCTCATTGGCTTGTTTCGTTTTCACACCTTTGAACAAGCAATGACAAATCCTTTCCGCATGAGGTGATCAACCCTTTTCCATCGGCCATGTGGCAGAAGGGGAATTCCCAAAGTGACGGATCATGGAATGAGACCGGAAACTTTCAGCCGCCTGACAGGTTAGACAGGTCCGGAAATGGAAGTTTTGTTTTGTCGGAGCAGGGAATCGCTTGGGAATCTGCGAGGGATCGGAATGGACGATATCGGGCGACGGGGTGAGTCCACCTCTTTCTGCCACCGTTGCCCACCTTGTCCTTGTCTTGGATAGCCTGGTTTACCTGGGAGCGACCACTCTGGTGGCTACCCCGACTCCCCGGGACCCAGCTTTTTCTTTTCTCGTGAGGAGACAAAATATGTCCTCGACCTGAACCATTGTAAGTAATTGGACCGGCAAGAGCTCCGCCATGGCAAATCTGCTCAAAGCACACCACTATGGGACACCGAGAAACCGCGAGAGGGGGGAAACAAAACAGAAAACAGGCTGCTCAGGTATCGAATATGTACCAAGTTAGCAAGTGATATGGCAAGGAAGTGCAATTGGTTTTGTATAAAACATATTATGACCCCATGGCCTCAAGGGTACTCTCGCCCCAGTCGTTCTCCTCGTATCAAACGGTTTGTCGATCGGTGGGTATACTGCGGACTGGTACCGCGTCGGTCGAGAAGTATATCTGGCAAGATCTGGCTGCTGCCCACCACGCCTACCCAAAACTACCCGGGTATCACATGGCAACCAGCACTTTCTGGAGGTTTTAGTGACGGGTACGGATTTGGTCCCGTCGCCTTCTTCGCTTGACTCTAGACGTACACCAGGGCAACTTACAGACCACAAGACTATTAAAAAAAAGGTGTCGAGCCTTGCCGATCACCACTTTATCGGGGTCCAACGATTCAGTCATTTCCTCTGAACGGTCATTCTTCCTGCTTTGGTCATTGAAGGCAGAGGAGCGGTCAGGTTTGACCGTGGAAAGCGTGGGCCGCAATCATGGCCGCGGCCGTGGCTGGCTTGGCTGGCCGGCTGACTACTGCAAGTAGCATGGATGGAGTGAAATTGAGAATGTCGCCGACGAGATGGTGAGTGGTGTGGGTGCGGTGCCGTGGGTGGGTGGTGGTCAGTGCCAGTGTGGTTTGGTTTGGTTGAGTGGTGGTGTCACTGGCGTGGTGTCCAGTGCGTGTGTGGTCCAGCGCAGTGTGAACATGGAATATGTGGATTGACGAAAGTGAAGCTTGAGAGAAAATGGAAGCTGGGATTTGGGGTTTGGTCAAATCGGAAAACCGGAGACACTGATCCGGAATTCAGGATCGGAAAAGAGCGTCGTCGGCCTTGTCCCTTCCCGTCCCGTGGTACTCCAATTTGCAATCTGTAATTTCATAACTCCCGTTCCCGTCCGCTCCTTCACCTCGGAACGTTTTTAGGACATGGTAGGAGATGAAGTGGAAAGAGCAGCTGGTCACCCGGGCTGACAAATTGGCTCCAGCTGTTTGGCAGCTCCACGATGACAGCATTCTCGGATGATTCCAATGCAACTAAAAAGTTCACTAAAATCCAGGGACAGTCGTCGACACGAAGTTCTCATGAAATTCCACTTCGAACCTGTCCAAGTTGCGGTGGTGGAAGCTTCTATTGCATTGCTGTCGTGCAGGAACCTTACTGGCCGTTGTAAGTTAATTGGGGCAGGCATCGCCCAATGGTGACATCTTGCCAATGCCAATGCCAATGCCCGTGCTTCGGTCGAGGGAGGGCCGGTGCTTGAGGTTGTGGCCTTGGCCCGGCCGCCGGCAGCAGCTGCCCGTCTGTCTGGCCATTCGGGTTCTTGTACCCCGCCATTTTTGACACTTCCCGCTCTTGCCTGCCATAAGCCAAAAGCCCCACTACAAAATGGTCCCCCACCGCGGTGAAGGGCCGCCGTGGGCCGCTCTGGCCGTGTCCTTTCACTGCACCCTTTGTGCTGGCGCCAGTGGTTAATGCACGCTGAGCCCGCCCTGGCATAAAACCACTTTCACAAGTCGCGTCTCGAACCGCGTCCGAGGAAGCGCAATGCTGGTTGGCCGCCCTTCCATGTCAATTAAAGGATTCCTGGACCAACATCAACAAACACTCCTACCAACACCACTACTATCCTCACACGAAATTATTGTCGACCGCGACACCCATTCGATTGACGTACATCGCCAATACCCCAGTATTTTTTGCCATCGTATATCTCAAGCTACATAGTCAATAGCAGAAAGACTCTTAACGCGGGGCAGGCCGCGTCGCGCATCCGCGTCGGTTTTTTCTGCCCAAGTGAATAGAGTTACCTACCTCCCTCTAGTCAACTATACGAGTTCCACGCCGGCGAATATTCCACGACGACTTCGACTCGCTGCCCCGCCTCGAATACGCAACCCCGGCCGATTCCCCTTTTCTCCGCGAACGCTCCCTCGATACCGATTCTCCCTTCACCATGTATCTCCCTCGGCAGCTCATATCAAAACTCTACCTCCATCTACAAAACACCCGCCATCCACTATCGCCGCCAGTCCTCATCTTGGTCGCTCTCGAAACCGATGCGCTATGTGCTTGCCGAATTCTTACTCAACTCCTCAAACATGACTATATCCCGCACAAGATCCAGCCAGTCGCTGGCTACTCCGACCTCGAACGTGCCGGTACCGAGCTTGTCAGTCCCATGATGGAGACCCGCGGTGGTGCTGGAGGAGTTGTTGTATGCTTGGGAGTGGGTGGTATGGTTGACCTTGGTACAGTTCTGGGACTCGAACCCGAGGGAGAAGAAAATACATTTGGAGGAGTAGAGGTGTGGGTGGTCGACTCCCATCGCCCGTGGAATTTGGGCAACGTGTTTGGCGGCTTTCCCCTCGAACCGGAGACAGAAGACGCCAGGACATTCTCTGCGCGAACTCCTATCGGTGTCAATGGCGGCCGAATAGAGCGAGCATACAAACCAGGCAAAGGCGGCATTATCGTCATGGACGACGGCGACATCGAAGACGAACTCTCCAAGGAACGAGATGCGTATCTCACCCTAGTGGATATGCCAGAAATCGAAGATGACGGCCAAGATCTGGGCGACAGTGACGAAGACGAAAGCGAGAACGAGGAAGATACGGGTGATATATCAGTTGGCGCAGGGAGGAAGAGGAAATCATGGGCCGACTCTGACGAGGACGATGACGAAGACGACCGACCAAGACAGCGACGGAGAAGCAACTCGGTAAGTGCATTCCAACTTCTTCGTAGAAATACAATTCTCATGAAATACACAGTCGAGTCCAATTCCAGATTCGCCTCGCCGGCCTCAACACCGTGGTCTCATATCTCTACGCGACGATGCCCTGTTTTCCAGTGACGCGCTGGAAGCCCCGCCTGCAGCACAACCACCCAGAGGCCCTTCGGCCAAAACTCTCCGACGAAGATTGTTGCGCCTACGACGAGAAAACGAGGGAGTCCTGCGCGAATACTACCGACTGGGTACATCATACTCGGAGCCTATCTCTTCCATGATGTACTCCCTAGCGTCAGAACTAGGTCGCGAAGACAACGACCTGCTATGGTTAGCGATCGTTGGAGTCACGTCGATGGAACTATATGGTCGCTCATCTGCCGGTATCGCCGTAGCAGCTCGCAAATCAGATGCACGCGTGTCTGGCTGGCTCGGTATGCGTGGCGCGAGATTACGACAGCTTTTGAGAGATGAAGTAAGGCGTCTCAACCCACCAGAGAT